AAAAAATATACAAAAGTCATTTTATCCAAATTTAATAAAATTTTTAAATCTTTTTTCATACATTATATATTAAATTATTAATTAATTTAATTTTAAATAATAATATGTCTAATTGAGTAATTTTGCAATAAATAATTTTTTAAAAATATAATTACCAAATACTAAAATATTTTTTGTGAAAGCATAATATAACATTTTTAACAATTACAGTTATAAGGTAACATCGACTAATATTGTCAAACTAAATCTAAAATTTTAAAATTTTTACTTGTTCAAGAAAGGATTGAGAAAATAGCAAACTAAAACCTCTTGATGTCTATTACAATTAATAATTTATTTAATTAAAATAAAAAAAAAAGAAAATTTTTTTACTTAAATAACAAAAACTTCTTAAATATCTAATTTATTTAATTAAAATTAACAATTAATAATTATTTAAAAAAGGCTAAAACAAGCTCCTATGGACTTTAAACAGCAAACATGTGGGTAGAGTGGAGACCACAATGGGGACCCACAGGGCTTGAGAGTGCCATTCCTTCTGATTTTATGAATTATACGGATAAGTGTCACCTCCAGAGAATGACTTCCGACAAAGACGGCTCCACCTAAAACGGAGAACCCAACTCGGTGATTGAAATTGGAGAAATTTCCACTCATAAATAAAGGAAATATAATAATATTAACGGAACATTAGTGTATTAATTAATTATAAACTCCACCATGGAGCCCACTGGTAGGGTTGCGTTATTCAATGAGGAAGTGGTGGTATTAGACCTGGTAAACAGATGGGTAGAGTTGGGTTAGAGTCGGGTTAGAGTCGGATCAGAACGGGTAATGGGTTAAAATGGGTTGGATTAAAACAGATCACGGGTCAATGAAAGCAGACTCTAATTCACTCATCACGGGTCACGGGTAAATCCGTAAATTGACCCAATTAATTTTTTTTTCTCTATAATTTGTACCTATTATCATTCAAAGAAAATTATTCAAAAGATTTAAAAAAGAAATTCAACATCTTATAAAAATAATGTTTTTCCATTAATTTAATATATACATATTTATTGTTCCTCAGAATCACCTTCTTTATTTCCCTTCAAAGAACAGCGCTAATCAAATTCAAAAACACTACACTTATAAATCTCAATAGCAAAAAAAAAAAAAAAACAGTAGTAGCATGACAACCAAAAAACACAAACCCCATTGGAACATATTTGTTTTGATCATTACTTTCAAAGAATAATTAATTGAATGCATCTAAGTAAGCAAACGAGAAAATCAAGTAAAATTTTTACTTGGAATGGAAAGAAGACTAAAAAGCATAAATAAGTGAATAACTAACCTTGAAGTCTTTAGAGAGAAAAGTTGGTGACAAAAAGAGCACTTGTCGGACTCATAAGAGAGAAAAAGAAAGGGTTGAGTAGACGCAATGGTAACTCGATAAGACTAAAATCCAAATTTGAGATAATGTTAAAGACTAAAGAGAAATGTGGAGTCAAAACTTGAAAGTCAAAGGCTGTATGGACTATGGAGGTTGAAGAATATGAGAAGAGTTTTAAGTTTGAAGAGTTAGAGTTTTCGAGAGTATTAGGGCAAGCAAGAATAGAAAAGGTCAAGAGGTGAGTTATGAGTAGAGTAAGATTATTTTTACTTCTAGAAGATGATGAGTCAAGAGAATCAATTAGTTAATTAGGAAATATTAGTCAATTATTAGAGGTTTAGGTGAGATTGGGAATTAGAAAACAAAATAAATAAATAATAAATTAAAATTTTTTTAATTTTTAGACGGTTAAACAGGTCAAACTCGTTAACCTGATGGGTCAACCCGTTATGGACTCGTGACCTGTCGGGTTCTCTTAACGGGTCATTAACGGGTCATGGATCATAAATATATGACCCTAACCCATTTTAAACGGACGAGTAATGAGTAGGTTAACGGGTTGGGTAAAAAATTATCAGGTCTAGGTGGTATTCACTCTTGTCTGGAGATTAAATCTTCAGTTTCTAACAATCAACTAACCTAACTTAATAACCATTTCCTTTATCAAAAAAGTGTATTAATTATATTTTTTATATTTAATTATTATAAAACATTTAAAAAAACTTATTTTTATTATTAATATCATATATATACTTTTAATTGAACAATTGATAAAATTAAAGTTAATTTTTAAAATTTTAATATAAATTAATTAAAAAAATTACATTAAATATACTTTTATTTTATGCCTTAAAAATATAGATAAAAAATTCCCTAATATTAATAATGAAAAGAGTTGTTATACCTTAAAGAGATATTTTAATGGTTCAAAATTTAAATATTCAATTTTAAAAATTTTAAATTCAAATATTGAGATAAATGAAAAAAAAATTGAAAAGAAAAGACTTTATTATATATTTTAATTTATTATCTATTTTAAGAGGACAGTTCAATGGTTAAGTATTTGATATTTTAAATTATATATTTTAAATTTAAATGTTAAATCAAGTGGAAAAAGATTTTTAAAAAAAAGTTCTCCCTACTTATATAATTTATTATTATTAAATGTTAAAAAAATATAATTTACAATCCAATGTAAAAAATAAACAAATAAAAAAGAGTTGTATCGATTATCTTAAAATAAAAGGCCTGCCGTCCAAATTCGAGAAGTTTTTTTTCAAAACCTTGGACTCATGTGCCAAAATCAGTAAGCGAAACCTAAATTAACACGTTACATTAAGACATGTTCCTCTGAACTTTCCTCTACCCTTCATTTCACGTAAATGCCTCAATTCGCCAGCAAAAGTCACAGACGGCAATTCGATCGCCCCGTTGGTCCCCAACACCCGAAATATACCAGTCAACTTCACAGTTTACACCATTTGCATATTAATTTAATCTTCTGCTTCCTAAATCTACAGAGAATATTCCAAAAGAAGAAGAAGAAAAAACAGAGTATTCCATAAAAGGGATTCATTTATCTTCCGCACTGATACCGAACCAAAATGACCTATTCAAAGTTCAAACTAATCCTTCTTTGTTTCTTCTTGTTCTTGGGATTCATTCATCTTTTGCATTGATACCGAACCAAAATGACCTATTCAAAGTTCAAACTAATTCTTCTCTGTTTCTTCTTGTTCTTGTAATTTGCTTTATATACATATATATATATATATATATTTATGGTAATGGTGCCCTCTAATTAAATTTTATGCATATCAAAATTAAAGATTAACTTCTGCATTAATTTAACATTAAAAAAAAATTAATTCTCTTAAATATAAATATAATTTATAAGACATGATTTATTTATCATTAAATTTAATGTTGGGTCGGGGTTTTTGTACCTATAATATTAATGCTTAGTTTGATGGTATTAAGTTATAATTATAATTATAAATTTTTTAGTCCTTTGATATCTTAAAAATATAAAAAATATATTTAATATTTATTTTAATAAATATTTTATATATTTTTTAAATAATAAAAAATATAAAAATCAAAAACTAAAATAGCAAGAAACCTAGCCTAAATGTGCTAAACCTAAATAATTACTAAATAATTACTAGATGTAGAAAATTTTCAAATTTCCAAAACCCTAGTGGGGGAAGAGTCAAAATTTCCACCCTTCTGTTCTTCCTTTCCTTTTATTAAGTATCTATGGGACTTAGACTTGTGGGTATAAAGGAGGTAATTCTCTGGTTGGCAGGCAGATTCTAGTTCAAAGGCGTCAAATTTGAGGAAAAAAAATGAATTTCACTTCTTGTTTCTCAAGTTGCTTCTCTTCCACATCAAAACCAGGAAGGAATGGTAAATATCAGACATATGATTTATCTTATCTCCTTAATCTTAGATATTAATTCATGGGTTTTAATTATTACTATTTTCCAGCAGAATCTGGTGGAGAAAACGATCAGGATATGTGCATTTTCACTTATAATGAGCTGAGAATTGTTACCCAAAATTTCTCCAGCTCAAACAAGATTGGAGGAGGCGGTTTTGGCACTGTATACAAGGTTTGTTAATTTTTCCTTGGACCATCCAACATAGATTCTTGATGTTGAGAAGCTGATATGAGTTTCCCTTTTCTTTTGTTTGAATTGAAGGGTAGGCTTAGAAATGGCACTGCTGTAGCTGTAAAGGTGCTTTCTGTTGAACTTGAGTCAATGAGAGGGGAGAGGGAGTTCATATCTGAAATAGCTGCACTTTCCAATATCAAGCATGAAAATCTTGTCACACTTAGAGGGTGTTGTGTGGAAGGAGCTAACAGGTTCTTGGTCTATGATTACATGGAAAACAACAGCTTAGCACACACTTTACTGGGTAATTTAAATTTGTTCACGATCTGTTTGATGTTAAGTCTAGCAGAGAGTTTTATTAGATTGATGAATTTGTGTTGCTGATTAATAGCTCGAGAGCAAAACAGGATGCAATTTGGTTGGGAGAATAGAAGGGAAATCTTACTAGGAATAGCTCGAGGGTTGGCCTACCTTCATGATGAGGTCCAACCCTATATCTTGCACAGGGATATCAAAGCCAGTAACATACTTCTTGATCAGAATTTCACCCCAAAAGTTTCAGATTTTGGTCTTTCAAGGCTTCTGAGGGTTGACATTTCTCACATTAGTACTCATGTTGCTGGGACACTGTAAGTGAAATCTTCATAATTCTGTCTTATGTGGTGAGTTTTTGCTTCTTGAAGTACAATTTCTAACGGAGTAGTTTCTTGGAACCGGAAATGAAACCATAAAAGGGGCTATATTGCGCCAGAGTATGCTGTCAGTGGACGTTTGACGCGAAAAACAGATGTTTACGGTTTTGGAGTACTGCTGTTGGAGATCATCAGTGGTCAGTCGGTTGTTGATTTTGATTTAGAACATGGCGAACATTACCTGGTTCAAAAGGTAACATTTTACAATATTAGAGTAGCTTCACATTTCACTATGCTAAGAAAAATGTTGTGAAGCATTACTACCTGTGTGAAATTGCAGGCATGGGAAATGTATAAGGCTAACAGCATAATACAATTGGTGGATCCAACACTGGGTATGAACTACCCTGAAGAAGAAGCTGTTAGATTCATCAAGGTTGGTCTGCTTTGCGTTCAGGAGATTGCCAATCTCAGACCAGGGATGTCAGAAGCTCTGAAAATGCTGAGCAATGAGATTGATGTTGGACCTGTTCAAGTTTTACAACCTGGCCTTGTTGCTGATCTTATGGGCATCAAGTTAAGCAGAAAAGACTCGTCTCAGTGCTCTTCCTCCAATGTCTCTAGCATGGAAAGCAGGCCTGGTCTCCATAGTGCATACTTTTGACATCAAAAAAATGATTGCAGAACCATGTAAATAGTTCAAATTCATTCCTGATAAATTTGTTGTGCGATTCTAACAAGCTGTGTTTCAGAATGGAGAGGATTATATTGCTTTGAAAGAAAAATAAGAAGGAAATAAATAGCTTTTCCCAATCCTGATAAGCATATATCTGTGATTTCGATCTTTTATGTGTTTCCATACCTCGTAAACTGAGGGGAGATGTGGCTATTCAGAATTTTCCTTCCCAAGTATGAAACTGAAAATAGAAATATTATTTCTGTAGGAAATATTTTTAGAAATGTGGCATTCAAACCTGCAAAATGATGAAATGAAACTGCCATGAAATGACGGCACTGAGGCTGAAAATTGACAGCAAATGAAGCTGCAATTTGATAGCAAATATGGCAGCAATTTAGCTGCAAATATGATGGAAATGAAGCTGTCAAGTGATAGCAAAAATGTGTAGCAAGCTAAACTGCAAATGTTGATAAATTAAGCTGCAATGAACAGCAAATGAAATGCAAATGCAAATGAAAGAGTGCAAAGTGGGTGCAAAATCACAGCAAGCATGTGGCAAAAGTGGTTGTCTTTTACTTGTTTTAGATGTACTTTTTTTGTTGTTTTTTAATGTAAAAAAGCTGCTTAGACAAAATAAGAACCTTTCCGAATTGTTTTTAGATTGTTTTTTGATATTTAAAGCAGAGTTTGTTAATGAGAAATCTGAGTTGGAGTGTAATACTCCTCTTCATTTTAGTTTATGTTCTGCTCTTCATCTTCTTCCTGATTTTGTCTCCATTTCTTTGTGAAAAAATGAATAATTTCAAAGTAAGATCAATGGGAAAAGCGAGAAAAAGGCAAAAGCAGAAAAGAATGGAATCTATCAAAGAATGTCCTTACTGATTTCGGTCATTCTTACCATGCATCCTTGTTAGCTGTTCTAACTAAATTCTTAGTTCTATAGTTAATGCCTCCAAGCAGATCATTAGGGCTTTTAGCACATGGTCCTCTGGTTGCTTTTGTGAAAACTTCAGAAAGAAAACAAAAAGGAAGGCACTTCTTTTTCCAATACATGATTTTCCTCTTTTAAGCTTTGGATAATGGCCATGCTTTCTGTCTTTCTAAATTGAGATTCTAAGGCCTATGTGTGTATCCCAATTCCATATCAAAAGAAAAGTACAATTGTGAATGGTATATAAATTGAGGTTGGTAGGCTAACAATGAGTTTCGACCCTAATCGTTTTAGTCTATGACAATGGACGATCATCTAGGTAATTTAAAAGAAAGTGGGAAAGCCTTTCTGAATATAAATGACCAATAAATTAAAGAATATAATACAAACCAGGAAAATCTACAACAAACAATGGTGCTAAGATTAGATCAATTAAATTTGAAAAGAAAGGTACATATTTGTTGTCACTGCATCCTTTTGCTCCTATTTGTGAATAAAGCAATCATGACAATTGGCAAACATGAATTTCTTAGCAGACACGAAAAAACCAAAGCTTATTCTTGTTTTGGAAATCTAATTCTTCTGCTAGAGTGATTATTCAATGTTTCAAACATGTTCTTCAATCATAATCCCTTGATGGGAAAGATCATTATATATGCATGCACGGCTCCTCTCGCACGCCATCCACAAAGGCCATCAATATCTTGATGGGCACAGCAAATGGCATACAGGTAGCCAGGCATGCAAAACTTACATCTAACAAATGAATGCATAATGTGAATATGTTAAACAGTTTCCTATAAAGTTGAATGCTGCCAATAGAGTGCTAATGCTGGGACTTGAAAGTGCCATCTCCAGGTTCAATCTTGCTTGGATGTGTGCATGGAGAGAAAAACGAAATGGACAGAGGGATTTAAGAATAGGAGGTATGGGGCTGCATATATATACAGGAGAAAAAAAAAGAGATGCATTAAATCTTACCTCTAGTTCAGTCAAAATCAAGTTGGCTTGTGGATGACTTTCTATCCCCCCGCACCCCCAAAACAAAAACTCATTTTCGAGTTGTCAAAGCATATACCTATCACAGCTCGAAGGTACCACTCACCCTAAAGGCCCCTTCTTTCGCCTGCTTTTTTGTCTAACTCTAACCCCACTGAGGCTAGAAGAGTTTTGTTTGACTTTAAAAGAGTAAGAGTGAAGCTACACGGTTGGAGATAGAAAGAGAAGGGATGAGGTGGGCAAGTTTAATTTGGGCCTAGTGTTTGCTCTTTTGGGATTTTTCCTCTTTTCTGGATCATAAAGCAAAGGCTCCTATGCATCTCTGAAACAGATTTGTCTGGGAGTGCTTGGATCACTTGGATTCCTATACATGCGCACCTTGTTCTCATAAAAACCTCCTCCCCCACATCCCCCATCCCTCTCATACCTGTCATGTACCTTTGTCCCTACCTTCTCCTCTACAGCTTTCCTTTCATCCCTTACATATGCTCTCATGGGCCAGGCTCAACACACCATCAAAGAAATTTGCATCCTCCATTTCCAAATTCAAGAACAGAAACAACATTGCCTTCTTTAACTCCATAGTCCCCATTGAAACAACCAAAGTAGTGAAGCAAATACTGTTATGTACAAGCTCAAAAATTAATTTGCTTGCTAATCAAGCAGTGGAGAAGAGGCAACCATTTGTTGTTGGATCACCGAGAGAGCTCTAAATGATATGCTGGAAAAAGGGGTACTGTAATACCCAAGGATTTCTTACTTACGATTTAAATAAATTGTTTAAGCTCTTAGAGGGTGTATATGTGATAGAATTAAATTTGGGGTTGAAATTATAATGATGTAAGGAACTTAGGGACTAAAACCTTATAATTAAAGCTGAGGGACCAATTAACAATATTTCCTTTTTGTAAAAAGCCCCAAACCAAGTGAGTGGGCAGTTTCATTTTTCTCACTTTCTTTTTGGGGAAATAGGATCGTCACCTTTCTTCCGCCTGCAAATGGGAACGTGGCTTAGGGATTTGGCCATAGTAGATTAAATCTAAGGTAATTTGCCTTCTTAAACTCAGATTTATATGATTAAAAGAATTGTGGGGATGGAATTTAAAAGCTCTTCTCAATATTTGTTCATTAGGCCCTCATTTATCTCACAAATCCTCCCCAAAAGAGAAGGAAAGACACCAATTGAGAGTTGCTGTTCTCAAGCATAGTTAGAGGTAAATTAATTGTTCATGGTTGATGAAATATTTAGGAAATTTGGAATGAAAAGAATGGGTAGAAGCATGGTGTGGAGATTGATTTTATTATAACAAATGGATTTTGGTATTAATAATAAAATTGTGAAATTGGGTGGTGGTGTGAGGAATTTTCAAGAGGGAAATTAATTATTAAGGTGGTTAGTTTCTAATTGTGTGTATTGGAATGGTTGGATTTGAGGAAGAGGACGATAGTCGTATGAGTTATAGAATTATAGTAGGTGTTTGATAAGTACAGGATAAATTTTTACCTAGTGATTGAATGGTATTTATTTTGATGTTTATTTAGGTTTCGAATAGCTTTGTGGAATTGCATTTTAAGAGATACTTATTAAGGTAAGTAGTTATACCCTCCATTATTTTTAAAGTAAATCGATGGATTTAAATGGGTTTTATCCTATTTCGATTTATTCATCTATTTGTTTATTTATTTCTTGGAGAATGATTTTTACTAAATATTTTTAATGATGGAATGAGATGATTTGTGGGTTAAGTATAATATTTTTATTTAAATTTGAGATAAGATTGTGGCTATGTGGAGATAGCTAATTTAAATTTGTTTTCTCCAATATTATTGAAATGGTTATTTTTGGAACGATTTCTTTTGTTGTCTTGGCTGTATGAGTAACTCTTGTGAGGGTTGAATTGTTGGTATTGTGATAGACTCGGGATCTATGGATTGTGGATTGTGGATTGTGGATTGTGTATTGTAGATCGATGATTGAGTATCATTGATCATGGATTGTGGATTGTTACATAGCCATAAGGGACGAATAATGAAATATTTTGGTTTTAAGGAAAGAATTGTATTTCTTTTATCGTTTCATTTTCAATAAAAACTCAGTTTTAATTTTTATACTTGGTTGCGATGGACGAGTATATTACTTACGGAGTTCTTAAACTCACGTTTTCAAATGTCATCTCATTTCAGGTGAAGAGGTATGAGTTTTGGGATTCGCATGGGGATTGAGAGATCGTTAGAATAAATTGGCAAAAATTTAGCAATAGCTCAATTGAATCGCTAGACTACATTAGAACTTTATGGGAGATTGTATTGATATGCTGGTAGATGGCCTTACACAATTATAGGGTAACCCTATAGACGTGTAGCGTTTGTTATGCCTAAACCTTTGGGTTGGGGCGTGACAGGTACATTGTGTTCTTTCCTTAATTGTGGAAAAACATAGGAGTAGATTGAAAAAATGCAAAGAAGGGTTCTTGAATTCAAAATAAGTAGTACATTTTATCGTTTATGGGGTTGGGGTCTTGGAGGGTGGGACACCAAGTGTCGGACTTTTTTTTCCTTTTTGTCAAGGAAGGCTGAGTTAGGACCTTTCAATAACCAGAGTTTTGAGACCTATGCGTTTGGACTGATTTTGCTACTCCAGTTTCTTACATTCTACCCTTTCACACACACAGAGGACATTCTTCACTGTGACAGGGATTGTAGTTCAAACTGACCATTGGTTCGACTACTACCACAGAGTCCCGCAAACCTCCCCATTGACAAGTGTCAGACTCGGGCAGATGGGCTATTGAAATTATTTTAAGGTTGTTCTAACGTATGCAAATACATGTGAAAAATATAATAAATATACATATTTTAAAAAGATTAATTTTTATCTTTTAATATAAATTTATGATAAAAAAATATATTTATTATACTTTTAATATATATTTTAAAAGCACATACTAAAAATATCTTTATTTTTATTGTACAATGTTACACAAGGGGGAGAATTAGTTATTCTCTGCTGGGTGCCAGATTTTTTCTCGCTTACCCATTGAACGATGGGTAAACTGAACAAAGAAAAGACTCCATTTGAATGTTGGTCCCTATAGAGTTTTGCACAAATAGATGGATATTGTTTCATGCATTCCATAATAAAAATAATTATTTATAATTCTTTTGAATTTTTCTAAAAATAAAAAGAGATGTGCAGACACAGAAAATGTGTATTTATATATTGAACAAGAAAATATTGTAGGAAAAAAGCCCAATATAGCCGAAACATTTCTGTTTTTCTTCAATTCAGCTATTTATATTGAATTGATTTTTTTTTTTTCACTAATCAAAGGAAGGATGTATTGCTCATGTAAAAGCTAATTTCAAATGAAATCATGTGTGAACCTAAGCACATAACAGAGATGTGGATATTTGGAAATAGGAAAAACATTACTAGGTTCAGACACAAAAACTGCAAGATGTTAAAAATCCAACACAGGTAACATCCCAGGAGATTTGATTATTGAAAAAAGAGTATCCCAGTTTCTTGATGCAGATGTGCACATTTCAAAGGCAGAGAAATTTTATTGCACCTTTACAGGCGATAAAATAGTAAGTGACTTAAAAATTTGTGGCTCAGTCACCTACAGATTATGACGAGAATAGGACCACTTAAAATGCAAGTTTAGTTTGCCAATAACAATCTATAAGAACAAAGAATAAAGCTCACTGATAGCTGCATATCCTAAAGCCAGGATGGACCATGCAAAAGGATATCAGACTCCTTTGTATTTGCCATTCCTTCAGTATCAGTTAACTCCTCACAGATGTCGCATGCTTCAGAAGCATTTGGACAATAACATCAGAAATAATTGCAGCCTCAGTTTTCAGGTTCTCAATCTTGATCTCTGTCTCTGTTTCAAGCCTCTGCACATTAGCACCTGAATCTCCACTCCTCTGTTGAATGAGAAATTGAGAAATGTAAAGAATGCTAGACATTTTGTAAATGTACCTTCAGATGAAAGTAAAGCATAAAAACAGGACAGAGGGTTAATGGGTTACCATCAAGAATCAAAATGCCCCATCTAACTCTCATGAAATATTTACCTCTGCAAGTCTCCTCTGGAATTCCACCTCCAATTGAGATCGATATTCAGCAATCTCTTTGTCAGTCTCTTCCTTGGCTTGTTTCAGCCTGGCCATTTTTGCTAAAAGTAGAAAGCAAAGCAATAAAGCAATGGGGAAAAGGACTTCAGAATTGAGGGTGCAGAACCAGAAAAATGAAAAAAGAAGAATATTTTGGAACTAGAAATTTTAAGAAGACGAGAAAAGTCATGCATGCAGAAGCATGTAAACATAGAGAAGCAAAGGAGATCGGTTACCACTTCTGGCAGCATTGACAATGTCTTGACCTTCTTGTTCTGCAGTGAGCAATTGCTGAATTCCACCTTGAATTGCATTGACTTCCATGTTTTCCTAAAATAAAGAAAAACCACGCGTTCCAAACCACTACAATTACACCCTCTGGAGAAAAAAAAAAGGGAAAAAAGATATCTTACCTTCATGAACTTCAACTACTGACTTAGATACTCAAAAATAGAACAGACAAGACAAATTAATGAACTTAATCCTCACTTAAAATAAATAAATAAATTCAAACACACATGTGCACATGCATACACATGTCGATGTAGGTCGATAGAAAAGAATATGCTTCCAGGTAACAAATTGGCGTCAAAAGAGAATAATCTCATAGGTTCACAGGACAAATGATGTACTGTAAAACTATCATTTGAGCAAGCTCAGATATATAGTTACAACAAATGGAAATGATAGTATAGCCACAAACCGTACTGTTCTAAGTTCACATAAGTTTTTATGAAGGCACATAATTAATTCAATGCTTCTGCAAGATGCTATGTATCTATCTAATATCTACCATTCTAATTTGATTTTTCGCTAGTTCTTCTTCGATTGGCATGCAAACTAACAATTCAACCGAGAGCTAAGACCACATACATAAAAATTCTCCATAAAAGCAATCCATCCAGCATATTCAATCATGAACTCATATATCACTAGTATTCACTACGCAGCAACAATTTATTATCCTAATCATTTTATGATTAAAAAAATTGAATTACTTTGGTTTCTAAATTGGCATTAGTATTTATCAGTCAGACTTAAAAAAAAAAAAAAAGGTGAAAAGAATTCTCAAAATTATGTTACTTCAATAAAACATCATGAAAAGATCAAAACAGTTTCATTCCTGATTTAAAAATTACGAAGTTTTAGTCTTTTTCATTAGAAATTTATTAATTTAATTTTTTACAAGTACGAGCGATAAATATTTTTCCCTTTTGAATTTTTGTACTCAAGATCATGTCCTAAACACGGCATGTTCTAAACACACAATGAACATGCCGTTTAAACTAGCAGCAAACAAACACAAATCAGAGGCAGAAAACATAATAATGGATCACAAAGATAGTTTACCTTAACTAATGATTTTACAGATCGTAACAGCTTATATCTAACATTCAGAAATCAAACAATGAATTCGACAATCTCAGGCAGTTAAAGATCTCTTTTTTCGCCCCTGCCGTTGTCACATTGATTAGAACAAAATGTGAACAGAAAATTACAGAGATTAATAGATCATTGTCTACAAGTGCAGAGAGAAGCAAAAAAGCAGTGTAAGTAGAGGACGAAGCGATCGTCGGAAATCAGATTCAGTAATCAAGGCAAGCACAAGCAGAATTCCACAATGAGAACCGATAGGAAGACAGAGAAATGACGGAGAATTCGTCGGAAGAGAGAAATCGGTTACCTGGTCGGAGAAGATTCGAGAAATTGCGGGGGACGCCTCCAACGCACTCCTGGACTGAAGTGAGGAGGAAGAGGACAGGTGTCGTCAGATTACAAGGTAAAATTCCTTTAAACGATATCGTTTTGCTGTTTCCATGTCTGGATGTCCGGATTCATTTCCGTACAAATCTGGATTTTTGTGTGCGCCAATTTGGTAGAGTAAATGTGTAAATAAAGATTTTAATTTTGTATTTTTTTTGTTTAAGAATATTAATTTTATTATTTTTTAAATAAAAATATTAATTTTTAATTTTTTTATTTAAAGATGTTAATTTTAATAATTTTTTATTTAAGAATGTTAACTTTTAACTTGTTTTTTTTATTTAAGGATTAATAGGTGGTGGTGCTGAGGTTAGTTAACATATTTTTTTAGGTTAAATACTTAAATTGATCCCTTAACTTTTTTTTTTAAATCAATTCCTCTTTAAACTTTAGAAAGTATCGAAAACGTTCTTTAACTTCAATTTTTAATTAATAAAATTATTTCTTAATTCATAGAAGAATTAATTAACTTTTATTTAATTTTATTAAATGATAGGTGGGACTAATTAAATGGAAAAACATATTAATTGTTTTAATTTTTAAATATAAATAAAGTAAAATTAAGAATTAAAGTAGTTTTTAAATTATTTAAAATTAAAAAAATCTACATAATCATTTTTTACATAATGGATTTTCCACCTAACATTGAAAATGTAAAATAGTCAATCACTTAGTGAAAAAATTAGCTACATCGACATTTAAATGATGAAAAGATGAAACTGAAAATTGAAGTTGAAGGACATTTTTGGTATTTTTTTTAAGTTTAAGGATGAATTGATTAAAAAATAAAGTTGAGGGACCAATTTAGATATTTAACTTAAAAAAATATGTTAACTGACATCAGCATTACCACCAATTAATTTTTAAATAAAAAAAAGTTGAAAGTTGATATTTTTAAATAAAAAATTTAAAATTTGCCTTTTTTTTTTAAAAATTACCAAGTTTACCTTTTTTAATTAAAAAAATACAAAATTAAAATTCTTATTTACACCTTTACTCTAATTTGGTAAGTACAGTCACAGCGGACTTTAATAGTTTAATGTAATAGGAACGCTAATTTTTGGACCCCTGAGCTATGTTGTTTGGCACAAGAATGCTCCCTCACTAAGTTTTATATGAATGAAACTCATTAATGGGTATAACATTAATGTAAAAGTTTTATATTATTCGAACTATTAATCATTGAATAAGAATGGATTCTCTCGCATTTAATTGTTGTAATTTTATTGATATTATTTAGATTGTAAAACTATAAAATCTAATAATAAATTAAATTAAAAATTATTAAAACATCATTTGTTCACCATTGAATGAGTAAATCCAGCGGATTCTTTCACAAAATTAATTTTTTTTATCAATAATTCAATAGTTTTATTGAAACAACAATGAACACAAATTTAAAATATTATAATTAATCAAGTGAACAGCCCGTTGTGAGCATGAATAGAAATTATGAATTTAAAAATCATCTCAAGTAATGTTTTAAGTCTTGTAAGGACAGGTCCGAGGTGCCAAGCCTCGGACTGCTACAGTAACTTCTCTATGATCGAGGTGAGAAATAAACCCAAAACCTCCCGCTCAAATAGATGCATGACAGTAATAATAAGCATGCCCGCACCTGATTCCTTGTGATGAATCGCACAGCAAGTATGGTGGACGCTTGTGCATCTGAATACCTCTCAAATTTTCGGTCCCGGAATAATCGTCTGGATGAACACGTCAGGCTCCGATTATCTTGCTTGGCATACCACGTGGGTTCCTCATTGAATCCTATAAATACCCCCCCGGGCCACGTCAAAAGGTAATTGAAACCAACCCTAAGCTTTTCTTATCTCCGCCCTAAAAGTAGCCCCGATTATTGCTGACTTAAGCATCGGAGTGTCTACCCCGAGTTCCACCTCGGGGCTTTGCAGGTCATTCCGAAGTGCAAGCGCGGACTAGAGAAGGACATCGGGTCTGGTGCAATTACAAGTCTCGGTCCGGTGACTGATTCATTTTGGTCATTAGGTCTACTTTAATTGGTTCAACCAATTCAATTAATTGGTCTAACCGATCAACTAAAATATTTTTTGATATTTTTATTAAATTTTACACTTGTATATTATTTTCACTTTATTTTTTAGAAATAATCACCATAAAATCAATTTAAAAATCATCATTTAAGCAACTTAAAACAATAAATTTAATTTTTAAAATCTAAACTAACAAATAGTAAAATACATAATATGATATAAGTTCACTGAGCCAATTTGATGCTCCAATCTTTATTAATCAGTACATTTTCAGAAGCACATTAAGACAACGACAGAAATTGGAGCTTGAGGGACTAGAGTAATTAATTTGTAAGTTTAAGGTTTTTAATTAAGGCATACCCCTGCATCCAAGGCGTGCAGCACCAACCTATTCCTTCTTCCATCGCTGTTGCATCAATTTTGTGTTATAGATCATTGTCAAATTCCACATCTAGAAAAACTTTTGAAATGACAATTATGCAAGTTTTGAAAATTCAATATTCCTACTTGTAGACAAAATTTCTTAGTGTCAAGTTTTTAGAAATTAGAAAAATGTAGTGTACAGAAAATGATATAAGATATCTCAATCAAACCATCAACTGCAAAGAGAAAGTGTGAAATCATCTCTTTCTCATCATCAAGTAAATTTAAGGATGACACTTGCAGATCCTCAAATGTAAAGTTTAGAGAAACAACTGGAAGAAAATTTTATCAAAGAAGCATACTAGCATAGCATAAATGAATAATAATCAAAATAAGGAAAATAAGGAGACATGAGGCAAATTCCAGAAAGTTGCAGATTCTGTGCTGAGTCAGCTGACTTGTTGCTTTTGTTTGTTGGAGGAAAGAGAGGAAGGTGAGCAATGGAGGAGATAAGCGCCTTGTAGATTTGTTCCATTGCTGCTTCTGTAAGGGGATGATCTATTCTGTACTGCTTCTGTTTGATTCGGTGGAGGAAGGAGAGGAAGGTGGGTAGTGGAGATCAAGCTAGAGATCAGGTTGCTTTGCTACTTCTGTTCGGCGGAGATCAAGTTATTTGCTGCTTCTGTTCGACAAAGGAGATGAGGAGATAAGGCAGATGCAAAGATGCGATTGTGTGAGCTTGCTTTGCTGCTTCTATAGTTCTGCTTTGCGCGTGGAGGAGATGAGGATTGAGCAGGAGTGTTCACATCCATTTCAATTTGATTGATCTGATCTAAACTGATCTAATTTAATAAAAAATTAAATTAAACTGATATAAAATTGAGTTGGTTTGGATTATAAAATTTTAAAACCGATATAATTGGTTTGATTTGTAATTTTACATT